TTAAGACAACGTCTCCACATATCTTTGAAAGCGCCGCCTGCGATGAATCGTCTCCCGGTGGACATCATCCGCTGCATCACCGACTTTTTGTGCACTGAAGATATTCGAGCGTTTCGTTTAACATGTTCCACACTCTGTTGCTTTGCTTACCCTGCAATAGCTGGGCATTTCTGCGTACTAGGTACAAGCCATTGCCTATCCGAGTTCGCTGAATACCTGAAGACTGTAGACACTAGCTTCACTCACTCCGTAACCCTTTATTATGGTCGTTGGCCGGCCTACACGCGTGAGCAATGGGACAATAGCTCGTTGCTACTTGATGGATACCGGTGTCTCTCTGCGCCGCCTTCGGAGGAGGAACTTTCAGCCGCGTTCAGGCGGTATGAGAATATTTTGCGCAAGGAAGATCGTCTTGCTGAGTGCAAATTGATGAAAAGAGTGCTAGGCCAGCTCCCTAATGTACGGCACTTGAATCTCAGATACTTGCGGCCATGGGGACAGAATTCACGAAATCCACGGCTGAAAGCACTGCAGAGGCAATTATGGATTTCTCCGGTGTTCGGAAGTACGATTGATACACTAGCTGACACGGTCCTGGGTGAAATCGACGACAACGTCTCCTCTCTAACCTTTAACGGCCGGCTACGTCCAGCCTCACTTCTGTCCAGTCACACCGAGTTCTGCCATATTGCCAACCTCAACTTCGATGCCGTTGAGGTAGCCTCTGCTAATGATTGGAACTTTCTGTCCAAATTCCCCAGTTTGATTGGTCTTAGTATTACACTTTCGCCTCGTTCGTCCATTGCGCTTTTTGATTGCGGAATAACATTGCCACATCTAGAACGACTTCGGCTCAAAAGAATGTTTCTCCAAAGCAGTCTTGCTAGAATGCTCAGCTCAGCGTATCCAAAGCTAAAGGAGTTGCACCTACAAGAAAGCATTGTCGTGGATGGAGATATAGGACGTTTTGTAGAAGATGCTCGTCAGCATCCCTGCTTAGGTTCAGTTGTCATGAGTTGAACAGTCATGCACAAACCTGTATAACTGCCTTGCAAAGAGTTGCTAGGCTGTCGATAGTAGCTATCGGCTTAGAGCAGATCAAGTAGTGAGCGTTCTAAAGTTGTTCACACACGGTGGGTTGGCTGGGTGCTATCTAACATCTATTCATTATGATTATCTGAGAGTCCTTTCCCCCGTTGTGGCTCCTTTCCTAATGAGACCGGGACCTTCAAAGTAGAAGACTGCCTCGGTTCTAATGCGAAAGCCCGCCACATCCAGAAAGACGAACTCTAAGGTGGATGTTCCTACAAAGCTTGCTGGCCCTAATGCTGGGTTGCAGTGCCCCAGGTTGGCGGAGCTATTTCTATCATAACATTATCCTGGATTGAGATGTAAAGTTTGTTGAAGGAGATGCGCGTCAGTATCCCTACGTGAAAACAGGTGAAATATTTTCTATAATCATCCCTACGGGCCTATGTAATCGTATTGTCACGCATTTCAATGCTAATAACAGTTGTTTGAGTAGTCGTTCCTTCGACCCTTACACCAAGACGCTACGGGTGGCACTAAACCGTCACTGGTTAATGTAGAGTCGCCTTGCACTTTTCAGTTCAACGTTTGTTGCATAATACTTTGTACCAAAACTAACGATACTTTGAGTTGGTGTCTCTCTAATCATCCGGAAGACATATACCGACCAACCAAAGAAGGTTCCCCGCCTGCTAGTTCGGTCACAGAAGTGTTATAGACAGCTGTAAGGTCGTAGACGCCAATTGAGCGATGCAGGCTTAGCCCTAATTCGATCTAGAGATGGTACAGATGTAACACGCGTATAACTATACTACAAGTACCACGGTACGGATGTGCAGATAGTGGGATCCTAGGGCTTAACTGGGTTTGCTGCCACGACACCATATCGTAACAGCAACGCACGCGCTCCAGCTGAGCGGACTTAGAATACTAAGGAAGAGTGTTGCAATAATGCGAACCCCTACCAGACATTCCGCTACTGTCCGCCTTACCCTATGCTGCATTGTTCTTTCTAGCGCACTGCAATTCTATCTAGTAAATGATATACTTCAGATGGCTGAGGGGAGCTGTTGCCAGTAGTATGGTTGAATCTACCTTCTTCAGAACAAACCCCTAAGGTTCTCTCCGGGTATCAGCGTGTGGATGTAATGTTCTTCGGCATTTTCGAAAAGCGGATTGATGGTTAGATAATGGAAGACGGGGTGGAAATGGTAGCTTGAGCACCGTCCCGTGCTTGACTGGAAGTAGCTTGAATCTATCATACTCTTTCCAAAGAGCGGCAGAGTCCATCTTCGGAGTGGACCTGGCTGTAGCGGTGCTTGCTTCCATATTACTATTTCCTTTCTGCTTTTACTAAATGTGTGCATCTATTTCCATTTCCCAGAGCCCTGCTGAGGTACGAAGAGCCTAACACTACGTGTAACCAATACTCGTTCTGTAGGAGCTTCTGTAATGAACATATATCTATTAGGCAGCCTGCTAGACAGCATAGGGCTAGATAATGTTGTGTTATATATAGGCATATTTATCTGTGAACGGAATCCAATCTTGTAGACACTCATCATCAGTCGTATCTATACTTTCTTCCTCTGACTCTATGTCTTCGGTACTCGGTCGTGAGTCGTACCACGATCCAACATTGGAGACGTAGGTCCAGCGTCCGCCTGAACTTGGTGTGCACGGGACGTCTAGAATATAGGCTAGGTCCTCCACCCCAGCTCTAAGCTCGTCTACTAGACGATCAATATTACTCTCGTCGATTGGAATTGTTGTGTGGGGTCTTGAGACTTTTCTAGTTTCCCATAGCGTACTCCGAGATTGCATCTGTTCGAAATCGAGCATATTCTGCAGCCAGCTCAGTTGATCAGCGCCCTCCTCTTTGACCAACCACGTCAGGGCTGCGGATGAGTTCCGCACTTGGTTTTGGCATTTTCCTAGGATATCTGCAAGCCTGTGACATGTCAGGCGGTGTGAAGAAAAGGCTGAGTCGAGCAGCAGAGATTTAATCTCATCCTCTAGATTCTGAATTTGTTCCGACATTGTGTGTTGTCTGCGACCTGAGATCATCTATTGCTTAAAGGATCGCATCTATATATTGCAGAAACGTAGGGACCAGGTGATCTCCAATCATAGGAAACATATTAACGGATGCTTTTCTCGTGTAAATGACATCTTCGACGGAGATGTCATGTCATATGTCTCGCAGACGAGTGACGTAAAAATCGATTATGCTTACGCTGTAGCCAGTCCTAATGCGCATATGCAGTCGCTCCATTCCATTCTGTCCCTCTATGACCAGCAGCTCGAGACCATGTGCTTAAGCTATCACTCATTGTAGGATTAGAACCCGCCTAGTAAATATCACTTCCTGCATAAATAGCAGTATATTCGAAGTCTCCGTTAGACTAAATTGTCACAGTCTCTAGCACTTGGCTTTTGACGCGTGACTGGGCCCAGTCCACGATGCGAACTATACGAATTGATGTCCTTGTAAACCAATTCCTGTTCTTCGATCATACGATGGGGTTTCGCGTCCACGATAGCATAATGGCGCTTTCACGGATATCCAGGCCGCAACGTAAGCAAAGCGTCTTGAAAGTCGTTCTAATATTGGAACGCGATTCCTTGACTACATGTTAACGTTCTGCCCCATATTAATGGTGATTACCACTCGGAATAGTGGTGCCGAAGTGATCCAGAGTATCTACTATTAAGCTAATGAGTATGTTTGGTAAGTATTTGCTGGTTTGTGCCTCGAGGCAATGCCTCGCAGCTTCGCTGAGGCCTGCGTATGTGTGTCGCGATGTGCGTCCGCGGTTTCATACCCTAGATAATTGAATGGCATGTGCTCTATTTACGCTCTGCATAATTGTGCTCCTATCCGTTGCGTAAACACCTAAGCATGCTATATATAGATTCCTTGTTGCCGGGCGCGTTGCATTGCTCGAGGATCCAGCAAGATTTGCCACTCTCATGCCTTTCAATTGAAGGCACGGAGAGAGAGTAGCCTGTAGATTACCTCCTTAAGTGTTCAACTCTTTCGACGAGCAGCACAGTTCGGCTCTATTCAGAGATGTATACTGCCAGACGTCAACTTCTCGCATTCCTAGATATGCTAATCACGTCAACTCGATCCGGTCAGGGGGTTCATCTAAAGGACGAGCACATCCAACATCTAGGAATGTCGGTAGACAAGCTCTGTGAGACACTATTCCAAGAGAAGGACGTATTGATTGCTTTTCCACCCGTCATTTGTCGGAATCGAATCCATTCTGTCCATGTTAATATCAAAGGACGATTGCTCAGGTATGGCGGAATTATAATGCGAGCGGAGTTTGAGGCAGCAAAAGGATCGCCTCAATTGCAAACAGGTGTCCAACCAAAGCGCTGCTATTATACTGAACTTGCAACATATTTTGCGGACGAACATTGGGGCCACGTCCTCTATACCACGCCAGCTGACATCTTCCAGCATCGAGATGGCTCATGGAGCGTAAAAGGTGACGGCTGGGCTTACAGTAGCAGTTCTCAATGCGAAAAAATGGAGTTCTTCAAACGGGTATCCGCAAATAACGAGAAACCATTCCGCGTCTAGGCCTTAGCCCAGCAGCTCTGCTTCAGACCGTGGCACATTTGGCTCGCGTGTATCAGCCGCATCTGCGATCACATCCTATCTTGAGTAGCATAGCCCGTCGACCATTCCTCCGACTTATTGCAGTGTAGCCTTCTCGCTCGACAGGCCGACGCGGCCACCTGACCGCCCCTTCGCCCTCCTACCGCACGCCTTGCTACCCTTATCAACGACCTTGAGGACTTCTTGGTTCGGTAGCTGCTTGTACTTTTGAGCCCCTCCTCGCTCTCCGCGAATTTCTCAAGGCGCCACTCGTTCTTATTGGCCCTGCCCCCCTTCATAGCCGGCCGGCGTTCGTATGAGCAAAATGCCTGATTGAAAGTCATCAGCACTGTTCATTCTACAAGTTGTCCTGTGATAGTGTTCCTACCTTATTTTGGCTGAGATTATGCCGGACGCTACTTCGCCAGTCATTCTCGGTCTTATCAACTTTCGACGTGTTGTCTTCGAGCCACGCGTAAATTTCTTGGACGGTCATTCCTTTCCCTTTATCGCCAGTGCTTAACAGAGCACGACGAATGAGCGCTGCGTATGACGGCTCAGGTTGGCCTGTAGTCGGCTGACTGGTTGGAGAAGACTGCGTGACGTTTCTCCCTTCCGGCAAAGCCACTATTCTGGTCTCGTACAAGCCATCCGACTTCTCAGATGGAGAATAAGTATTCCATCCCTCCACCAGCTCTTTGCTAGGCTCAGTGGGCGCTTGGAAGAAGGCAAAACTTGCTAGCTGTCGCTCTAACCCGAGTGTGTCAGACTGTGTCTCACCAACCACTGCGAAACGAGGGGTACCGAAGCAATCAACATTGTTGACGGTGCTGTCCGAGGACAACGGCGATGTTGCCCAGAAATGAGGAGCTAGTTCGGCCCCGCTCCCGCCTCCCAGCGCAGGTGGGGACATATAATCTTTGGGTGGGATAATTGGCAGGTGAGAGCGATACTCGTAAGCCTCCCGCCATGTATGACGCTCCCCTAAACCTAGACAAGCAGCAAGTTCCTGGTCGTAATTTTGGTCCTGTGAAAACAATAGTGACATAATGATAAGCTCTCAGAAAGCCACACTCGGCTAGCAGATAGCATGTGCGTGTAGAATAAGTTGGCAGCTAGTAATTGTCGAAGGCCGTCTTTTTCTCTTCCCCTGTAGCTAAATGATTGGGCTATGTACTGTATGTGGCAGACGATTAGAAGCTGGACGGTACTTTGTTTGCTCGGGATGGTGATAACAAACAGGAAGATAAGGAGTGGGTGTCCCAGGGAGGTGCTGCTGTGGGGCCATGTTGTTCAACCCACATATGGTTTGTTTGTCCCTGTGGGAATGGCTCGGTTGGCGTCATATGCAGCATCCCGACTTGGTGGGCTTGGTACTGTAATTCGTCACGTCATAGTGGTCATGGTGACATACTTACCCTTCACTTCATGCCCGCTTTGTGGACTGTCCGGACTTTGGTCATCGCTTCACTTCACATGAGTACTAAGAGTTATCTAGAAATCAGCTGCATTGATATGTGATGCACATTGCCGCGAAAGTCTTGCACTGATGCTGTTCCTCGTCGAATGTGGTAAACCACCGTGGCTTGACCTTGTTGTTCATTGCGAAGTCTCAGAACAACGCGGAGATCGTCAACTTGTTCGTCGTCGTGATAATGGGTTAAACATACAAAGTCTGCAGGTAATTCACGACTTGCGCCTAGAATCCATCGTTCAGTCTTGCCATATGAACGTAGGGCGCCCTTGTCGCCTATACGAGTACGAGAAGACCTTCTATCTTGTCTCAGAGCTTGTAGACAAGAACCTATGTACCCTGCTTCCCGTCAAGCAGCCGCAGGCACTATCTTGTATCCTGAATCAAGTGAGTCATTTCCATCTCTCGTTTGGACATGGCGCTAATTCCGAAGATCATCTCGGGCATAGACCATTTGAAAGCAATCCAGTCACCGTTCCCGGTTCGCGAAGTGGGTTTTACCACGGACGGAGTTATCAAGATAGGTTCGATACTACCTATTCCCAGAATGACATTCTTGTCTGACGCGATTAGGCATTGATTTTGGCTGTCCGCGGCGATTGGGCGTTGAGTATTGGGATGACCAGCTTCGTGCTATCTGCAGCTCACTTCTTCCAAAGCACGATGCGCCTTTCTTTGTTAGGCAGTTCTTTCAATATTTGGAGGGATCTGTTCCTAAGAATGACGTCTACATACTAGGCCTATCAAAGAACCCCCGGGCGCTGAGGCATCTTCTATTCAAGGACCGCAGCTGAACCACATTGTGGGAGGCACATTGTGGGGAAACGTGGCCAGAAGAATCATATAATAATTTTTATCCCCGCAACTTTATAGAGTGAAAGGTTTCTGGCACGCCTAGAAGATAGGATTAGCTATGTAGCACACCTTTCTTGCACTGCCAGATGCTCCGCACGCGTACTTTTCTCTGAAATCCTTTGATCTGCTCCAGAATGGCCTCGTACATTGAGGAGAGATTCAGCACTGCGCAGATTCGTCATCTCGAATATGGACGATAATGTTCCGCTGTAAGAGTGCTAGAGATTCTTTTTCCCAGGGTTTTCCTGGATATTTCACCCGAAATTCGAAGTGCCGCATGAACTTTATAGCTGTAAGTAGCTATATGGAGCAACTGAAAGAAGGAAGTTTGCAACGTACCTCAAAGTATATCTTATTCATCTCTGTAAATGCTAGTAACTTTCCGGGACACATCCATCGTCCGCGGCTGAAGCACGTCTCAACTACATATTCCATGGACCTTCTTTGTTCCCAGCTAACGTCTGTGAATCTCTCGGGCCGGAAAAGTTCAACGTCTTCCCCGAAGGTCTGTTTACACCTTAGCATACCAATGTAATTGATCCCGGCAGCAGTGCCGGGATGAAGGGACGTGCCGTGGAGGATATCGCCCTGAGGCGGAACCTTCTTGAATTGCCCATTTATGGGAGGTGGGCGCATACGCAGTCCTTCGTATAGAACGGCCTGCTGGTGTTAGTGAAGTGTTCCCCTTCGTGTTGGAAAAGGCGCTGACCTGGAAGTACGGGAGGCGCCGCGATTCTTCGAGGGTAATGGGGTCAGAGACCTGCCCCGATTGTATAGCCTGTCGTACGACCCGCGGGGTCGTGATGATATAGAGCAGTGTAGAGCGTATTGCCGTTGCAATCGTATCTGTTCCAGCAAAGAGCTGTACGACCGTCTCGGCTTCGGTCTGTTTCTGACTGAGGCCGTGCCGCATGAAAAACCCCTGAATGTGGCTTAGCACGTATATGAGCCTGCGCATAGTAGCAATTATGCTCACTATCATGTCGCACGTATCCCGCGAGCCGAGTTTGTACCGTTCGGCGATAATATCGCGAGCAATACTGGAACCACCGTTAGCAACGGGCATTGACGCGACGCGCTGGGTCGACATACCCCATGGCTCTCCTGAAGCCTGCGCGATCGGTAGCCCTAGGCCTGAGCCACTTGGCTAGGATCGAATACTGAGAGACCGCGAGCCATCGTAGGATGGGTATATCGACGAACAAACAGAACAGCCAGGCTGTTTTCTCTGCTGACTCTGAAAACGAGGATAGGTCTTCGCTGGCTGTGATAAATCCGAACTCTTCCCCGCAGCATAAGCGTGAGATCACGTCCAACGTGAAATTTCGTATGAGGACATTGAGATCTACTTCCTTCGCTAGGTATCGCTTCCGAACGGCGGCAACGATCTGAAGTACCATATGATTCACGGTCTCTTCGATATTGACTCCGTCGCGCCCTCCAAAACCGTCTGCAAGGCGTTTCTTGTGAGCATCGTGTCCGTTCTTGTCAAGTATTGTTAGAATATTGTCGTGTTCCGGATCGAATTTGCCTCCCAGATACCATTCGTGCCTATTGTAAGGGCTCCTGGCGCGAGACATCCTGTCTAAATCTTCCGGATCGCTGGTAAGTACATAGTTAGGACCAATTCGCGCTAGGGGCCCGTAAGCTGTGAGTTTGGTCATGGCATCGACTGAATCACCCCTGATAAGATGACCTGCGATCCACAGATGCGATAAAGAGGCGAGCCGCGGCCCTGGTATGTGTGAAAGCCGCCACCATCTGTACAAGAAGTACGTAATGATGGAAAGGCAAAGCAGGCTGCTGGGTTGGATGCTGGTGATCAAACGAACGAAAGCCATGGTGAACAGAGTTTGCTTCCCAAGATACTCAGTGAGCCATGCTTACATAGTGCACAAAGGTTCCTCTTAAGTACAATGTGTAGCTCCTCGTGAACCAGGGTAGTGGCTCAGCCTAAGCGGACCCTCATCAGCACCTGGAAGTTGCTGTCCGAGGGCACGCCCTGCATTGTAAATCAATTGGTTCAGCTGCAATTCTGAATGGCACCTGTCATACTGTACACCAGCATCAGTATCACACAGATTACACGCACGCCACATGCACCGGAACACCAAACGACCCAAGACGCTCGGCTATGCAAACACAACAAACACACCCCACAAACACATCCCACAAACACATCCCACAAACACATCCCACAAACGCACCCCACAAACACACCCCACAAACACACACCACACAAAGGAGCATTCCCTGTGCTCAAAGCCTTGTCTTCAAGCAAATGTGTTACAAGGCATGACCTAAAGCGCACTCTTCTCTATGGAAAATTATGTTTTCGCCCATCGTCCGCACGGCGACCAAGTAGTCCTATCTAGTGAAATTGCAATGTCTCCAAGGCGCACTTTATGGGAAGAACAGGCAAAGTGAGGCCCCTGATCGCCCAGAACCAATCATCATTACTACAGCTGTCCTGTGAAAGCCCAGATCGATATGTCCATGGCCCAGTGCAGCCGCCGCCTCGCACAATCAGCCTAACCTCGACTCTGGGTGCCGATGATAAAGTCCCACGCCTGACTAGGGTTTCCAAAATACGTTTGGTGTCCTGTAACAGCGCTTCGCAGCGATCAAGCCGAGCCCGGTCCTGAGATGTGAGACGGTCGGTCTGGATTTCCGAAACCGTGATGATCGACACTGGTAGGGTCTTACAACACTCCTTCTCTAACACAACTTCGTCGCTATTACTCCCTTCCGCTGCTCTCAGTTTCCACGGGTTTGATGCACCCAGGAGCGTTAGCAACGGGAGCATTATAGACACTGAGATTGTCCGCCAGAGTCGGGATCTACAGCTCCGTAGCTGCGTGAAAGGTATGTAATCTGGGTTGGATTGACGAGAAATCAAGATCAGTACCGACTTTAATGATGGAAATCCTTCGCACAGTGCCTGAAGTGCCTCTGTCCTCGAAGAGGCGGCGTCACTCGAGCGTTCCGCAGGCGTCATATCAAGGCAGCTCGCCTCAAGAGCTACAGTCTCAACAAATTGAGCTTTGACCGGAGTTGCAAAAAGATGGAATCTCTGCGCATTTGGAAGGCGTCCTGTGCAGGCGCTGTCGAAATACAGGATATCGGTAACAGGACGAAAGGATGATATGTTCGCAAAACTCAGAGGATGACCGAGCTCAGCTGTTCTTGGCTGCTTTCGCAATGCCTGCATAGTAGTCCATGCCTCGTAACAGCTGGCGCCGACATTTCGCATGGATCTGTGATCGTGGAAGTTGGCTGTACTTGGAGTGCGCTGGCGCTGATAGAAACACCACGATGCTTTCGTACAAGGCAGGTGGTGATTAACCTGAAACAGTCGACCTCCAGGTGGGTGAAGAGCCAATTGCCAGATGAAAAGCCTGATCTCTGCCGGGAGCCTGCCAAAGTGGTGAAAGACCCTACTAGGCTTGTCGCAGTCTGGTCTGAAGATAGCGGCCCGTTTCTCGCGGCCAAAATGCAAGCGACGCCATAGGAGTTGCTGCCACCGAGCAAAAGGATCGTCATTCATTTGGTATTTCTGTAACGAGTTAGGTACAGTGCTGTGATGCGTCGTAGAAATAATGTAGTACAAGATTGAAGTTCTGTCTTTATGCTTCCTCGTGGTCACTTCTCTCCCTGATCCGGCCTCATCTCATGCAACCTTTACATCTGGTCAAGGAGATCATCTGACTAAGCTCGAGTGTTCGACAAGCGTTACAAACAAGCACGCCGCAGCATTGGAGAGGCCCGCAGTCACCCAGGCCGGTCGAACGGAAACAACCGACGCCTTCCAGGGGAGCTCCTTGTCACCCTAGGCTGACCTCCAGACCGTTGATCTTGTGACCATGTAGTCAAACAGAGGACTACCTGGTTTCATCGGACAAATAGCACTTTATAAATGGTTAGCGGGGGATGCGATTAGTGGCTACATCTCAGCCACGCAATCAACACTCATGGTTACTATTCCTCCACCAAGTGCAGATGGCCATACCATCAGTCTTGTCAATGCTCTTTCCAGTGGCTCCTTCACTAAGACCTGTAGACAACTGCCGCGGTCCCTTATTCCCCTTATGGAAAGAAGCCAAGCTTTAGCAACGCGTGAACCAAAGGAGGCAACTCTATTTGTCGCATCCTTGGTGGCGCGGCCGGGCAAACTGTGGCCGTGAAAGTTTCCTAATTTGGAAACGTCAATATGCGACGATTCGCCCCTAGCTTTCTCTTCGTCCTAGCATTACTCAGGCACAGGGCATGAGGTGTCCTTCTTCCGTACGTCTTAAAATTAGTGGAGTCACTGGGGTTCAGTGACTGGATTAGGTGCACAGTTAGAATTCTAGATTGGGTCCACTGAAAAGTCACGACTCTCTGGCTTAGAAATCTTCACAGCAGACTGCATTTTTCTTCCAAGCCAGATTTTCATAGAAATACTCTGGTGGTCGCTCGATCCTGACTTGCTGCCAGTTGCTTCGATCCTTGGCATGGACCCTTATCGATTACTGCTTATCCAATCCGCCGGATTGATCGACCTCACGGCAGGTCTATGATCTCAGCATGCATGTGACAAGACAATCTAGCACTGAAGGATGTAGTCGTCCTGCATTTATTCATGGTGATGTTCTCGTAGGGGCAGGAGCAACAAGTAGATTCGCGGTACGACCGGTCGCAGAATCCAATCATTAGCACCTTTGTGAATAAGGGTGCCAGAAAGCCAGTAGTTGTATGCTTGTTATTGGCTGTGTCGCAAAACCTGATCTGAGCCCATGCTAGGCTCTGAGCCAAGCCGTGCCGCAGGTGTGTCCCGCGTCGCAGACCAGGATGAAGACGCTTTGAGGCTACTTAAGCTGGAAAAGACCGATTATGATGGTTGTGTAGCGACTCGATGGCCGAATACTATAGGCGGCGGAAAGCCCTGGGCCACTTAGTTTCGCGGATGAGGATATGAGGCACAGGGAGGTAGAGCAGGTCAACCGCTTGCCAAAATGCCTCAAGAAATCGATTAATGGGAACAGCGGATTAGCATAGTGAAGAGGAGTGTTTGGCGAGAATCGAACATTGCATCGATGGTCCGCTAGCACAGAGAAGATATCACTCTTGATTCCCCCCAATAGCTTCAGTCGCTTCTCTCAGATTTCGATGATGCCGAGGACCAAGATAGAGGAGCCCGATTATTGTAATACCTATAAGACATAGAAGCCATTTGTTACAGTACTGACAGACGAATGACTCTCTTTAATGTTGTGAAGAAAAGCAGCAGAATCGCCAGCTTCCAGAATAACACCCATAGTGTCAAAAGTTGGCAGATGAAGGATGCAATAAGAGTAGATGGGAATTTCAAGAATAACATATATTACAGCGAGCTCTGCACCAAGCGAGCTTTATGTCACGACATAATGTGTTACATGGAAGCGTTATTGGTTCAGGGAGTGAGCTCGAAAAGTTTCGCCCGAAGCGGCTAAGCTGCAGAAATACAGCACTGGTAAGCCCGTCACCTCGCGTGTAATGCCATTCTATCTATGCGATAATGCAGTACCTTTCGCTATGTCGACATTACTCTTACATAGAGTGACATAGGTACAGTGATCTGATGTATTTGGAGTGGACTTAGTTCTCAAATAGGCACGCACATTATGAAAAGAGATACAGTACCGATGAATAGTTGGAAATGACCTTGCCGCTATCCATGGTGTGATACTGCGGTAGAATTGAGGTACATAGCAGCCGCGAAATTAGGGTATCATCTTCATTTCTTCTTTCTGCAAACAGTGGCTTGTTCTTGTGGATGAGTTCCCGTAGAAACTATCAGGCTGACTATCATTCAGGAGCTTCCAGTTTTTGATATGGGACAGTCTGCTAACATTCGTCGCTCGTTAGAAGGAAAAAAACAGAATCTTCCGATATCTTTTGTACCGATCCATGGTATGGAAGATCCAGCCAGACAGTACCGCAGGCGAATTAAGTGGCCATAAGCCGTAATGCTACAGTACCGGAAAGCCCGTAAAGACACAAATATGACGGCCAGCCGAACAGGCCATGGTTCCAGCTGATGACAAAAACAGACCATGCATGGACATCAGCCAGAGCCCTACCAGAAGGATTGCATCGTGGCCCCACTGGGAGACAAGGGGGTCCATTATCCCCATCGACGGGACTTGGGGAATCATAGTAATCTTGGAGCACGAAGATAGCAAGCGCCATGTGATCTCTATAAAATTCTGGCCGGGAGGAGAGGTGCATACAGCCTTGAAGAAACCCTTGCCAGAAAGTCAGTGCCTTTCATCCTCACCTGACATTGGAAGTAGCATTGCAGCACTCATCGATCTAGCATATGAAGGGCGGAAGGAACGATCTCTTCTCCAAACAACACGACGACCCCAGAGAGAGATACAAGCTGCTTGCCTCGGCTTTGTACGAGCTCCGCCGATAGACTAGACCAAAAACCCATAAAGCTTGGTCTAGGGTCAGGATGATCCCTAATCCGCTGTCACCAAGAACGTACATGTCCTCGTCCGGCACTTGTAGTTACGTCAGGCTCGAACACAAGTCCAATGGCTTCAGAAGCAATGTGCGTCCTAGGAGATGCAGACGCCGGAAAGAAGACTCTGACCTGGCACCTGGTCTTCACGGTAAATCCCGAGAAAGATGACTGGCCCTGGTTCCATCCCAGCTGAAACATTCAATTCTAGTGCGGGGCTTCCCTTCCTGAGATTGCACCCATCGAGAAGAGTCGGGTTTGCGATTATCGTGGCATCGCAACCCTTTACCGACAGCAAGGCAGGCCCGTTTCATTCTACGGCCCCTCGGCCCAATACACGATCACAGGTAACCATGACTATCCTCGACATCTGGAAAAGACTAATCATTCCACCGAAGACATTCCCGGAAATGCTGATGTTGCCCTCTGGGCCGTAGATGCGTCTGCTGATGACTACGGAGCGTGTTCGAGCCAAAGGCTTGCGTCCCTCCTGTCTTTCGGGAAGCTCCGTGTCGAGGAGCAGCTGATTATAATTGCTACTAAAATGTAAGTGACTGCCATGGTTAATGTCCATCTACGACTAACGCGACTCAGGGACCTGACCAACTGGTCGGAGACTGTCTTCGCGCAGGTCGCACACTCATTCGCTAAGATCAAGCCGGCGCAATCCAAGTAAGACTGGTGCGATAATCATGCGGGCCCCGCAGCAAGGCCACCGAGACTGACCATGTCACACGCGTCTGATAGAATCAGCATTGTGCCAGTTTCTGGCCTGCACGGGGACAACCTTATTGAGAAGTCAGACAAGGCGGCACACCTCCAGCCTGCGGGCAAGGCAGAGGAGGGAGGGCTTACAGTCTTGGGTGCGCAGCCCCTGATGTCGGTGCTGTGAAAAGAGATGGCCGCGTTGGTGCTATTAAGGCCCAACAGCCACACTGTGCGTCCCGCGGTGTGTGCAGGTGCAGTCGCAGTTGCTGCAGAGAGCGCCAATCAACTGGGCTGTCATGACAAATAGTAGCTTCTTCTAGACTTTCCGCGTACTTGCTGACCATTGCATGTCTTTACGTCTGAGCAACCCATTTTTTATTCCCTTCGTGTTTCATTGCCTTGCCATCGTTTCGCAACCAAACAGCTCCGCTCGGAAGCTCTGGACGATATGCTTAGTCGCCTTAAAACCAAAGCACGCTGCGCCTGTTCTGGCAGTGTGCAGCCTCTTATCCAACGATTCTGTACGACGGTAGTCCATAGGCGCAAAAGAGGGAAAGGGCCCAGATGTCGTGTGTACACTGGTCGTCCTGTGGAATGGGGGCCGTTGTAAGCGGAGCCTGAGCAAGACTGGATAGGACTGCAACTCCAGATCGCCTCCATTTCAGCCGCCTGTCACATCCGGATTATAGTGTGATTCAGATTCCTCTGGACTTCCTAATTAATCGAAGACAGAATATAACAGATAAAGATGAGCTACTACAAATCAAAATCTATACTATGGGACATGGCTGGTATGTGGTCGAGGGTAGAGAAGCAGGCTTGTCGGTGCTTAGACTTCCTCTAGCGGAATGCCGGACTACAGATGACCTCGTCGATCTCACTAAGCCCCCCAGCAACTGTCCACCTCCCGTTGCCCCCGTCGCCAAAAGTTTGCTTGTTTAGGTTGATGCCTCGGTTGAGCAGCACGACTTGCCCGCGGTTCAATGCCTTGCAACGGAGCGCTTGATTGTCCACTCCAGGGCCTACGAAGAGCTCTACATGAGTGAAAGTGCCACCAACCGATTGCCTCTGGTCGTTTCGACCCTCCGAGTCCGAGAAATCAAGCTGGCGCGCAAACTCCTCCGAACTTTTTGACAGAGTTACGCGGATTTCATCACGCTGATCGGGATCTGTCTTTCTCAGTGCTGGATCGCACGTGACGCGCAAGTGAGCAGCCTCGACAGGCCCGCCAGGCTGAAGTGTCCAAGCTTTACCAACTCCGAAGTTGAAGTCGATGCTCTTGTCTCGCGTGACGATGATTCGGTTGTTGTTCTGGCCAGCATTACGAAGCTCGCATCGGAAGTCGGCCTGTAGGTCTGACGAGGCGGCTTGCCCTGCAGCTCCAGTGAATGGGATGCGGACTTTTCCAATGTAACCCAAGTCAGCACTAGGCCGCAAAGTCACAGATTGGTTGGCAGAAAAGCCTTGAAGATAGAATATGTCGCCGTTAGTATTGATCAGCTCCACGGTGACTCCGCTGGGGGTCCTTAGTAGTTTATGATGATGTCTTGCATAGATATTGCTTGGCATAAAGGCCATGGCGGCGATGAATGGTGTTATAAGATGCATGTTAGTTGCTGTGAAAGGTTTTGAGATAAGGTTGAGGCGCAGTAAAGATGAATAGTAGCGGCAGGTGCTGGAGCAACCGTATTCACAGTCGTACAGTTGCAATCGTGATTTTCGATGACGACGAAAGAGGTGTGCCCGACTCTAGACTTTATAGAGTTCAAGACAAAAGAAAACGAGCGGATTCAGAGGTGGAGCTCCTATAATTAGAAACCGGCTGAGCACGCAAATCTTGACAAAGATCTCGGCATTATGTAACAAATGGAATGTGATGCGGGATACCAAAATAGAACGGACGATATATCAGGGCTATATGGAATGGTACGACTATCCGATCCCGAGTAGGGGCATTGACGGGCCCAACTTAGCCGACTCAATCAAGTGGCTAGAGACACAAAAGATACAGCAGCCATAACAACAATCCTGGATTATGGCCAAACGCTGAACTGATACCGTCTGTCCCTTTTTTCACCCGCTCCGGAGAAAACATGTCGAATCGCGTGCCTTGAAAAGTCTGTGCTAATCGCCGACCTATACAGTCAATTGAACAATATCTGTCGGTTGTAGGGGTGGATCTGCTATCAGTCGCGGGTCTTTGATGTGTTGTTCTGCTCCTGCAAGGTCTCCCACGCCTGGATATACAGCTTCAAGGCCCTCCAGCGCGTGGACTTCTGTGTTTGGGCTGCGGCACTGCCCTGTGGTTTATCAATCTGTCAGTGTGACTCGCCTGCCTTGACATGCATGTCCCGTGGAATGAAACCCACCTTGGAAGATGGCCTTGCTAGGCTGCTTGCTAAGCAGTCGTCTCTACGTAACTGCTGCACAGATATGCCGCTGATACTGCTGAGCTCTTCGTCGAAGCTCCATGCTACTGCTGGATTTCCCAGGTCAAGATAGTGGTACACTTGACTTACGAGTGACTCTTGTCGTTGAGCTAGAGCTTGGTTTTCCTGGCCGAGTTCAGCGATATTGATGCTTCCATTCGACCCAATCTGTGTAGCTTTGAATGGGGGGCTGTTCTCCTCTCTAGGCAAAGCTGCGCACGCGAGTGGTGGGGGCGAGCTGCGTGGTGGGGGCGAGCTGCGTCCATTTGGCTGGATGCTCGTGATGCGTGAGCAATCACGATTTAGGACGGGCTTAAGGACAAAATCCTGATTTAGATGCGTATTCGGCTGTATCAACTCAGGACTGGAGCAACGTGGAAAGTCTATGTCCGCTCCCAGCGCTATCGATAATGCATCTTGATCAACCCCTAATGTCGATAGAAGGAAGGTAGACATCTTGACGCATGTCCTACGGGTGTGGTAGTCTTGAGCAGTATCTCATACTCCTCTGCCGCACGAGTCTCTTTTATGTGCACGGTTGCGAAAAGTTGCAACAATAATCTGTTTGGATTAAAAGCCAATTTGTTATAAGCGATCCGCTGCACACCCTTGATGGCTTGAACCAGCTCTACCCCGAGGTAAGACTCGAGGAAACTAGACCACGCCAGGTCATTCCAAAGGATGCTAAAGAAAGGAATTTAGGTAGACCTATATCTAGCCTGTGCATTTCTAGAGGTACCGAACCATACTGATGTTGAGTCTAGCAATAATGTGCCACGAATACTGCAGGTCCTCCTTCACTCCTAGTACCAGATGTCTGGGACGCGCCCCTGACTTGTTCGCTTGCCTGCTGAGACTTTCAACTCCTTATCGCGAACCGACTACATGGGGCAAGCCTGCTTATCGTGCGACCGAGTGAGCTCGAGGCCTGGGGAATTCAACTCGCATTATTTTGCCGTCCAAGCGCATGCACTTTTTCGACATCATCACTCATCACAAAGAGAGGCTCACAGGTCAGCAATGTCGTAGATCTACTCACTCGCCCCACGAAAGCCCATGCCGAGCAATGCCCGAAAAGAAGCATCGGGATCTCCAAGGTCCAGATGCGAGTCCGGCCAATGAGGGAACTCGCTTCATCGCCGCGATCGACCAAGGTCGAATTGGCTAGTGCCCAACTCTGACGGCAAGTGCGTTGGTCCGCTGGATCCAGGCTTCGAAGAAGATCAGGAGCTGGCCAACATCTAGAACGGTCGCATTCAATGAGAAATTACAACTTCTATACGACAGACCGGCTGATATTCCATATCTTTCGCCTTCCGACACTGGATGCCATCCAGTCTTCAGCAACCGCACATCAGCGACGGGATCATCACCTGCAAGTTAGGAGGCTTTCAGGCGGATCCATGGACTTAAGCTTCTCGCCATCTTAGCCAAACGACTGCAACAGCATCCTCTTGATCCTCAAGACGTTGAGTATGGGACATTCTTGGCGACACGTATGGTTCTGCCGTCATTCCGTATGCTACAGAGCCAAAGACTTGACATTGAGACCCTGGGAAAGACTGTTCCAGATGAAACGGACCAGACCACGGGAGCGTTGGTGATCCCTTGGCTTGACGGCGACGACTGGATCCTGTTTCACGTGGATAAAGACACCGGCGCCGCATACATGTTCGATCCTACTCCACGGCGAGAGCCATCACGAGTTGTCGCCTTCTTCCGACAAGCATACACAGACGCGGGCTATGGTTCGATCACTGCCATGTGGCGTGTTCCCGCTGGAACGCGAACCGACAAGTGGTCCAGCGGTTGGTGGGTGGTCGAGAAGGTCCTCATGTTAGTCACAGGCAGAGACATCAAGTCTATTGGCTTCGCGGTAGTGAAGTCTGAGGACGTCCCGTACGAAACAGACTTTGCGAAGACGACGGACATGATAGCGGACTTTCTGCAAATGCGCTACGTCCGGGAGCCTGACCAAAGCGGGAACAGAGTTGTTTCCGTGGTAGAACAAAGGCAATCAACTGAATAGGCCTGTGTGACGATATGTAGCAATCGGGGTCAGATCGTATAGCTTATGGACCTCAAGTACCCCATGTAAGATTCGCAGGACTTTTACGTAAAAGTCCAGAAATAACTCCACGAAGTCATGCGAGAGTAACCGCCACATGAGTTGCGCAAGAAGCAGCAGGTTCATATGTCATTAAGTTGTATGTTGATCATTGCAATATTTCTTATAATACTGTACGCTCAACTTTAGCCTTCCTTTCCTCTGGTTGTCCGGGAGCAGTGCTCAAGTAGATACCTACGCTATTCATCATGATAGACCCGAACTCGTCAAGCGAAGTTATGAGAAGTATCATCTCAATCGTTCTCTGTCTTTGGACCCTATGGCAATTTCTAAGCGGGGCGGAGGTAGATTATGAACAGGTGTCAAAAGTTGCAAAATCGACCCATTCGCAATAAACTGGACCTATCTACTTTCGCCTCCGAAGCGCTTCTCTACGTCTTATACTGGAATTTAAGAGAATATGACAGCTTGACCGAAAGTAGAGTCCAGGAAGGCAACTACGTGTGAGGCTATTCAGCACTAATGCTCCTTTTTAAGAGACTCGAGAAGACATAACAGACCCTGGAGGCGCTATCACTATAGTACTTACATACTCCTGGAATGATACAGTCTCCTGGAATAATACCTAGAAAGAATGCCTTGAGGCGAAGAGCTGAGGAGCGAGGATGAAGGGTACCTAGACTGCAAGCTCTGCATGTTTATCTAGAATGGAATCAACCCTATCATCGACAGGAGTCGAATATTGGTGTACAGTTTAGTTGCACCTCAGGACGATATACCGCTACACTATCATTATGCATAACGTGCTACACGTTTGCGTTCTTGGCTCGGCAGCGTACTTAGACTGCAATGAGGCATCGTAGAACTACTACTCATTCCCAGGGAGACAATCACTTAAGAATAGGACACATATCAAGAACCAAAGCTATAAACGAAGGCAATTACTACACGGGCATGAAGAATTGCTACCCGGGCATGACTCTTACACGGGCATGACCTTTTGCAGCCTCTGATTGGTCCATCCCTTTTTGTTAGTGCATCTAGATTCTGCCAACGCTCCCCTTGTACCTCGGGATTAGCTCTCCACCACGACGATCGACGAGACATATGGAAGCTATTCACTAGCTAGCTACTACACCAATTACCTCTTGTCGCATGTCAAGCCTACTGATAATGATTGTTCGTGAAAGATACCATATTTGTCAAGGTCACAGGGCTCCAGGCGTGGTGTGTTAGGCCCCCTGCTGAGACCAACACTCAAACACACGCTGTATCAGGAATATCCAATAGCCTCATCTTCCAAGGCATCTGCATCACAAAGCAGGTCATTCCTTTGTGCTGAAATTGGTCCCCTCTTTCCTTCTTTCATAGTCAAATCAACTGCCCCTTTAACCATGTTCTCATCCGTGCGTGCGACACTCTTCCTGTCGCGATCAAGGCCGTCATTATGTCCCAGCCCGACTCTCGATCTAGCTCAGCAAGCAACCAACGACTACGAAGCTATCAATTACGTCCTCGAAAACGACAGCGGCAGAACCAATCTGAGAGTTCAAGACCACCTTCGTCTAATAGCACAGGGACGAGCATTGGCCCACACTATGGCGTGGGAGACGACGAGGCACTCTATAATGCTTTCGCCTCGTACCCAGAGACCTTCACGACCGCTCCACGCCCCCATGGATCGCGTGGGCTGAACGAGCCACCATGGGAGCTGCGATTCGATCATGAGATTCACCTATCGAATGATTTCCCAACCCGAGGAAGACGGTCGCAACGAGTAAGAATGCCTATACCAGGCCCGGAAATCGACCAGCCTGCTCTCCACAACAATCAGCACAAGAACAATTCTCTCCAACAAGACCCCAGTTTCAGTCCGCCCTTAGGCTAGTGCGCGAGGTGATTGGGACAGATCGAAGACTTACCATCGAGCTCGTCCGGTCATACGAACGAGTCCGCCAATGGCGCGAGATATGGGGCTACTCGCCGCTCAGTTCAACTGCATTCGAATCATCTCCGCCATACTCGCCTCCCCGAGAAAGGCACTCTCCGCCTATCGCCTCGCCGCCCTCGCCCGACCACCCCTTGTCGCCTGTCCCTGACCCGATCCCGAACCCACCTATCCCAGGCGACCCAGCGCCGTCAGCCGAAGTCCTGTTCGAGTGGGTGAATACTTTCGCGAAGGCTAATGGCTTCGGTATTGTTCGACGAAATGCCTACTCATATAAGGGTCGGAAGATCCGGTACTCTTTCCAAGGCGATCGATTCGGAGAACCACGCCCCTCAGAGAGTACCGGTATTCGGCAACGGAAGTCTCGAAAGTGTGGTTGTAAATGGATGGTCATTGCCGAGGCACTGGAGGAGGGTAGATGGCTTCTACGACACCACGATAATTCCGAGCATAGCCAGCATAACCACGGGGCCAGTATCAAACCATCCGCCCATCCCTCCCACAGACGACTCACTACACCTATCAGGGCAACAGTCGAATCGACAAGCCGTCGGGTCGGAATTCGGGCCCGTGACGTACGCGCGATCGTCCTGGAGCAGCATCCCGAGTCATCCTTTACACGAAAGGATATCTATAACGCCAGGTCTCGTATCAGCCGAGACAAGTTGAGCGGCCACACTCCTACTGCAGCACTGATCAAGCTGTTCGACGAGATGGAGATTCCCTATCTTGTTAAGTGGGCGGATGATGAGCCAAACCGCCTCGTCGGTCTTGTCTGGACCTTTCCGTACTGCCTCCAGATGTGGAAGCGGTTTCCTGAGGTCATCAGCTTCGACAACACAGTAATATCGACGTGTTGACACTGTCAATTCGTTGGATTACACGGCTGTCGGCGATTAATTTGATGTTGATGTTCAATCATGACAAATTGTCTCAAGATTCTTCTTCGCAACATCAAAGAGAGCCATACGCCTGTCAGCATCAAATGGCTTCTATGTCTTGTGGCTATCACCATAATCGGGCTCCTCTATCTCGGCCCTCGGCCTCGTCCACTTCCAAGAGAAGCGACCGGTGCTATTGAGGAGAATCAAGAGTGACATCTCCTTTTGGCTAGCAGACCATCGATGCAATGTTCCATTCTCTCCAAAACCTCCTGTTCAGTGTGCAAATCAGCTGCTCCCATCGATCGATATCTTGAGGCGTTTTAGCAAGCGTTTGATAATTAAGGCTTGCGAGTCCTACGAGTGAGCCCTACCTCCACGTCCTTCATATCTTCAGCCGCGAAGCCAAGCAATCCTAGGGGCTGCCGCTGTCTATAAAGATGGTAGACGCCAGTCCCACGCCTTGACGTTTGAATATGCGGCCGTCGAGTCGCTATTAAGCCGTCAGAAACGGGCCTGCCCAGCTTAAGTAACATCGGGACATCTACATCCTGATCTGCGCATGGGACACACCTGCGGCATTGCTCGACTTAGAGCTTAGCATGGGTGGAGATCAGGTTTTGCCATATAAAAGGGTAACCACTCGCTGTCTGGCACCCTGTATTTGAAAAAAGTACCAATGATGGATTCCGCGGCCTGGGGTACCGCGACCATACTTGATGCTCCTGCCCCCACGAGGACATCACCATCAATGAATGCAGGAGATCCGCGTCCTTCATTACTAGCTTCTGCTGTTACGTGCGTGCTGAGATCATAGACCTGCCGTGAGGTTGATCGATCAGGGACCGACTCGTTCCACTCTATGGGTTGGGTGTGATCACGGGATTGATTAAGACTTCCAGCGCTGTCGCGTTCCTGTTAGACGGCTTGTGTAGTCTTGGTCGCGTATTCCCTTCGTGACTCTCGGACAGGTCATGCACGTGGGGTAAAACAACGACGTGCAGATTAGATAAGCAGTAATCGATAAGGGTCCATATCAGGAAACAGGCACCGATTGATGGTTCCCAATGTTAGGTGCGAAGCAACTGACAGCCAGTCAGGGATCGAGCGACCACCAGGACATTTCTATGAAAACCTGGCACGGAGGAAAGGTGCAATTTGCTATGGAGGTTCCTAAGCCAGATAGTCGTGACTTTTCATCAGACTCAATCTAGGGTTCTAATCGTACACTTGACCCAGTCACTGAATTGCAACGGAGCGGTATCTTCTGTGAAAGCCACGACACCCGATCGAGAGAGTACTACATGTACGGAGGTAATATTCCTTAGGGCGTTGTACCTATCACATCTTCAACCCGTAACCACCCGGTTAATTTGGTTGACTCGGGACGCCGGATTGGGACGCTACCTGGACGACCTCCAGCGACTGTGCGGGTGGCTTCACTACTTACCGAATCAGGAAGGAAGGACAACTTATGCCCCGTGCTTGAACGAAGAGAAAGCTGAGGGGTTAGTCGCACTGCCACAGCTTGCCCGGCGACGCCACTTTGGGTGCGATGAATAAAATTGCCTTCCTAGGTCTAAGTGTGGCTCGACGACCTCAGAAAACTTAAACCGTAGCCTTAGCTTCGTTCTACTAGAGAGTTGGGAATCTGAACCCCAGAGGGGGCCAGCTGCGAGATGTGTGAGGTAGGGTCGACGGACGGCGAAGGGCAACTCATTTTTGTCGGTGATCATTCCTTGTTAGGCATAGGCCCCACTTCTGACAGAACCCCGCCTGGGAATCTGAAACGCCAATAAGGCACACGACCTCGTCCTCGACTGCGCTCCGACCTGGTCCCGTGACTTGCATGACGTTATAGCTGATGTTCTTCTTGTCGGTCCTTGCTCGGATGATTTCGGCGTCCCCTGCAAGCATTATCTGGCGGAACCAAGCCTCAAGCCGCACCGGTAGTGTAGCTGTCAGTAAGATGACCGGACAGCCGTACCGGTAGATACACTTCAGCTCCGTAAGCCGCTTTCGATAGCTAGCGTCCATAATAATCGTATGGCACTCGTCGACAAAGAACCGCTTGAGCAGACCCCGGCTTCGCAGCCAGTCCGTATAAGTCGAGAACTCTGTGCTATTGACCTGATCTGCACTGACGAAGACGAGCCGTGACACCCGCGGCTTCTCCTCTCGCCCGGTTGCCTGTGCTGGCTGCCACTGCTGACAGTCTAACCCGAGACCAGCTGCACGTCTGACCAGATCGCTAATTAGTGCCACAAATGGTACTATGACGATGCTGATGCCTGCGTTCACGCCGCTCATGTATGCTGTCAACGAAGGGCATACAAAGGCGGTGCGGCTACTAATAGAAAGAGGTGCTGATATCAACTTTCGTGGTAACGTGGGAACACCATTAGCTTGTGCCTCTGAGAACGGATTCGCAGATCTTGTGCAGCTACTGCTTCACAAAGGCGCCGAGGTAGATTACCCGGATCGGGCCGGCCGGACGCCACTCTCATGGGCGTCTAGCAATCCGCA